CGCAGGTGCCTCCCCGGGGCCGCCCAGCCCGGCCCGGCCCCCGGCGCCCCCCCCCCCGGCCCGGGCGGGGCTGGGGGCGCCCCGACCCCCGGAGCCCCGGCACAGCCCCGCCGCCGCAGGTGCCTCCCCGGGGCCGCCCAGCCCGGCCCGGCCCCCGGCGCCGCCTCCCCGGGCCCGTGCGGGGCTGAGGGCGCCCCGACCCCGCCGGGCAGCGGCTGGGGGGATGGAGGAGTCTGGGATAACGCCCCCGTCTCACAGCGAGAGTTGCCAAACTTTGGGAACAGCCCCGGTTTCTGCGGCTCTTCGATGCCCAAAGGTCTCCCAGGCACTTCGGGAGACCCCAAGCACATCCAGCCCAAAGGGAACGAGTGGTTTTTGTCCACTCATCAGTGGAATCAAAAGGATCAGACTGGAAAGGAATCATCGCCTTTAACCTGTTGGCTTTATCCTGCAGAGAAGTGTGACCACAGTCCCTGTCTGGATTTTTCCTGTGGACATCACATTTTAGAAGGGGATCTGTCCCCTGCCTGGGCCTGATGCTGTTCCCATGGGAAGCCAGAAAACGACAAGAACAAGCCACAGCCCTCTTTCAGGCTCCATTTGTGGTTTAGGGTGGTCGAGCTGCTGTGCAGATGTTTCCCCCCATTCTCCATTTCAGCCAGAGCCACATGACCCACCTCCCTTCTAATGCAACCTGAAACAGGAGAAAACCTGCTCCTTACAGACTCCCACCTCCATATGGAAGGCAGCAGCAGGGGGGTCCTGATGGTCCATAAACATTTCCAGTGGATTTCTTGGGAAGACCAGAGTCCAGTTGGGCTGAAAAAGGAGGTTCTTGTTACCTTGCAGCTCTCCTTTTCCTCCTCCAGAAACATTTGTGCCCTTAACACAGCTCATGCTTCACTTTGGTGTCCACCATAGGCTGATTTCCACAGAGAACCCACAGAACATAACCACAGAAGCTTTTTCACCAGAAATCAGAGTTTCCAGATCTGATTATTTAGCAAATTTTTCGTACAGCTACAAAGACCCACATTAGTCACTTCCACCTCAATCCCACTGAAGCCCATGCAGCTCCTTCAAACCAGAGACTGAAATCCCGATTATTTAGCAGATTTTTCGTACAAAAAAGCTACAAAGACCCACATTAGTCACTTCCACCTCAATCCCACTGAAGCCCATGCAGCTCCTTCAAACCAGAGACTGAAATCCCAGCAGGGATTACTCACCAATCATCTTTCCAAGGGAATACATTTCCCTTGATTGATTTCCTTAGGATGACTGTCCCATCCTGCATAAACAAGCAGGAGCACGAGGCTCTCCTGGGAACAGGAGTGGTTTTCCAGCCACAAACCTTCCCTGGGCTGTATCTCTGGGGAGCAGAAGGGGCTTCTTTCAACAGTCAGCAACCATAATTGGGAAGAGGTATGAATGTAAGTTAATAAAAATAATTAATAACTCCATTTAAGTAGCACAGGAAGGGAGGCAGCAGCCCCTGTGACTGTTGGGCAGCACAAGTAAAAGCAAATGTGAGTTCCCAAAGCCTCTGTGACAGCAGAGAGGGAAGGTGGGACTTTCCCAAGGGTCTGTCCCTCACCAGGTCCTAAATTTGTAGCCCTTTACTATGAGCTAGAGCCACACACCAGGTTTATACACTGTTAAATGTATAAATACATTTGCATAATGGATAAATAAAGTTTATACACTGTTGCTATAAAGCTCTGCTGTCACCATCAGTGACCCAGCTTGCAGGCACCAGGCCTGAGCTTCCCCCATTAAGGGAGGACCAAAGGAGACTTTGGGATGCTCCATAAAAATCCTGATGAAGCCAATGGACATCAAAGGACAAAACATAACTCTGAATTAACTCCAGGCTTACTACAGCATTACCAAGCCCTAGGAAGTGACACAGCCTTACAAGGTGTGGAGTCTCACTGAATTTACCATGGAGCAGGTTTGGGCTCCTCCTGGAGCAGCAGCTCTGCTGGTTAATCTGCAGTTTGCCTGCCCCTGGCAGGGCACAGCAGAGCTGGAGTGTCTCAGTGAGAACAAAGAGGAAACAGATATCACAGCAGATATCAAAAACAGCTAAAAATTCATTATGATGGAGCTTGGAACTGAATTGTGAAATCAGGCCCTTGGTGATCTCCATGCACCCACAGCCTCAGAAATGATTACCAGACCCCCTGGGAGGGATGGAGGGAGCTGAGGTGACTGTCCCAGCAGGAGGGCACAGCTCAGCCTGGCTGCCCTCCCAATCCCTGTCCTGTGTCTGTGATCCCAACACAGAGCCACAGAGGACAGGAATTGGTTATTTTTATGTTTTATGTAAGAGCTAACCAGACTGCCAGAATGTCTTTCCCACTGCCTCACCCCAATGGTTGAAATGCTGCTGATGGTTGGAATATGTTCCCTTCACCAGGGAAATCAAACATTCCCTCTACAAGCCTGAGCATGCCAAAGTGTTACAGTACAGAGCTTGGTTCAGAGCAGGATTTTAACACATTAGGTAACATCTAAAACACAGTGTTTTCTACTTTCTAGGCCCTGCTCTTGTTTTATGGAGCAATCAGACCCTGTGACCCTCCCTGGAACAGTGAGTGGTGGCAGGGACAGCCCTGTGTCACACTCACTCACATCTCAGGGTCAGTACCTGCAGGAGGAGAAGTCTTTTATCTTGCTCTGCATTTTCTCCAAGGGGATGAAGCTTGGTTGGGGTCTCTTTCCACACCAGGAATCTCTCCTAGTGAGTTTTACACTGAGAGTGGAGCAAATAAACAAAACCCAGTAAGATTCACAGACCAGCCCTCTGTTCTGGGTTCAAAAGTATCCC